CAGATTCAGAAGACCGAATCCTCCCTCATTAATTGATAATTGCATTTTCTGTAAAGATATTCTCAGAACTGAAGAACCTCATAGAAATTTTCTAAGCAAAGAATTTATTTTCTGAAAATATTTTCCAGATATTAAAACTGGAATTCTTCTCAGTATATAAATGAATCTGAGAATAATATTCATTTTGAGTGCTCACCTTTCCCCTAAGGGTGAGGTTTAATGATATTTAGGTATGTGTATACCAAAGGATATAACTCAGTTAGCAACATGTAATATAAATAAAATATATAGAGAGGTTTCTTCAGATATTTATATGATACAATTCTTAACTCCACAGAATTCTTTATACAACTACTCCAATCTTCTCTTTCCTCATATTAATATTTGATGGCTGTGTTTTCTTTCCTGCAATGGGCTGCAGGAAAGACCCCAGGATAAATTGCAACTGATCCACCCTACAATTACTTCTGCTCCCACTAAACCTCCAAGCAAGCTCATAACTTGGCTTTTTAGCCATTACTTTTATGTAGGAAACTATGTCTAATTATTCCAAACAAGAGAATATGGCTAAACATTGTTTTAGTAACTACATCTTTGATGGTGACTATAAGCACTGTCCCAATTATGCCTAAGAATGATGCCTCTGTTATCAATATTGTTGTCACATCATTAGAGATAAACCAATTTCAACAGTGTACATGGTCATTTATTTTTTCAGTCTATTTGAAAGAAAGTCCATGGAATGGAGAAAGCTAGATTTATAGTCTGGCAGTCAATGATCTTCTCCTGAAGTTGTTGTAATAACTTAAAACAATCCCAACAATTGCATTATCAATGTCTGTCTAAGGTCAACAATGGGCTGGATTGAGCAATATATCCCCTAAAAAAAAAAGGATCTATAACCTGGGAGAAAAGGTTCTACTTCTGTTCCCAAGTAGTTGCTGCACTTGATACAGCTTCACTAGAACAGCAAGTACACCTTTTTGGCTTCATGTGCCAGCTGCATTCAGCAAGAATAGAGTAGTAATAAAATGCTAATCTCCAGGAAAGGAAGCTATTATTTAAAGTAAGAATTTAAATATACTAGTTCAGCTGGGCTCTGAGATCTCAGTGGAATGTATTATCTTTTTAGAGCTGTCCATAGTACTGAAATTCAAGGAGAACATCAACTTCACCTTGAAGTCCTGAATTTAATTGATAGGGAACCAGAGGATCTGTGGAATGACTTTAAATAAGTTGTTAAGGATGAATGTGAAAACAGACTGCCAAAGATGAAGAAACAGAAAAAGTCAAAGTAGATGTCAGAATAAACTGTGGAAATTACCAAAAAGAGAAGAGAAGCCCAAACCTTTTGCATGCTGGATAACTGAGAAAGCCAAAGAATACTAAAAAGAAGTCACAATGTGCTTCATTGATTATAGAAAGGCTTTTGATTGTGTCAATCATGTCAAGTTGTGGAATATGCTTAGGAAAATGGGAATCCCAGAACATCTCACTGTCCTCATGAGAAACCTATATACAGCTCACAAAGCCACAGTACAAACAGAAGATGGCAAAACACACTGCTCCAGGTTGACAAGGGAGTGCAACAAGGCTGTATGCCCTCCCCTTATTTATTCAACCCATATGCTGAATATATATATATATATATATATAGAAGCTGGATTGGAAGAAGATGAATGTGATTTTAAAATTGGAGGAAGAAACATCAATAACGTGCATTATGCTGATGACACTACAGGTAGTCCTTGTTTAATGACCATTTGTTTAACAATGTTTCAAAATTACGACAGCCTCAGAAAGGGTGCTTTACGGCCTATGAAGCACTTCCGGCCATCGTAAAATGTCACACACATATCCCTGCAGTCACGTGGCCGCATTTCAGGTGCTTGGCAACCGGCTCGCATTTATGTGTATGATCATGTGATTGCCATTTGCAATCTTCTTTGCCAGCTTCCCCATTGGAAGCTGGTAGGAAAGGTTGCAAGTGAAGGGGATGTGGCAGTGTGAAGGAACAGACCTAAATCTTCAGGATTTGAGCTTTGTAACTGCCTCCCAGCAGCGGGCAGTCACAGAACTCAAATCCTGGAGATCTGAGGTCCATGACTGCCCAGCGCTGAAGGGGGAGGGGAAGCAGACAAGCTCTTTTGCTCCATCCTCTTTCCCTTCCCTCCTCAGTGGTGAACAGAGCACACCATTGAGAGAGGGGAGGGGTAAGAGGATGGACTGAAAGTGAAAGAGCTTGTCTGCTGAAGGATTTCAGCTTTGCGCAGAGCTGAAATCCTTCAGCAGATAGCTCTTTTGCCCCATCTGCTTAACAACCTGGGAGATCACTTAACGACTGCAACTGAGAGTGCCTGGATTGCAGTCATTGAGTAAAGCAGTCACATGGGCATCTCTCTTAATGACCACTTCGCTCAACCGTTGAGATTCCGGTCCCAATTGTGGTTGTTAGGCAAGGACTACCTGTACCCTGATAGCCAAAAATACAAGGGAATTGCAAGGTTTAGTAATAAAAGTTGAGGAACACAGTGAAAAAATTGGACTAAAATTAAATATAAAGAAGAACAAACTAATGACAACAAATTCAACAACCAGCCTTAGGATTCACAATGAAGATACTGAAGTGGTAGATAGCTTCTGCCTTTTAGGATCAACTATCAACAGTAAATGAACAAGCAATTAAGAAATATGCCATAGACTAGCACTTGGAAGAGGAGCCATGAAGGCTTTGGACAAGATATTCAGATGCCGTGATGTGTCTATACCTACAAAGATCAGAATCATGTAAGCCATGTTATTCCCTGTGACCCAAGCAAAAGTTACTTTGAAGAAGCAGCATAGGAAGAATATTGATGCTTTTGAACTTTGGTGTTGCAGAAGACCCCTAAGAATACTGCGGACAGCCAAGAAAACAAATGGATCATCAAACAAATCAAATCAAACCAGAGTTCTCATTTGAGGCACAAATGACCAGGCTCAAATTATCCTACTTTGGACACATTATGCAAACACCTAGTTCTCTGGAGAAGGCTCTAATTCTGAGAAATATGGAAGGAAAGAGAAGAGGATGACCAGCAGCAAGGTGGCTGGACTCAATTACAGTGGCAATGGGTGCACCTTTGGAAGTCTTGCTGAGGGTCGACATTGACTTAATGGCACATAATCAATCAATCAGTGGTTCTGAAATAGCCTATTCTGTTATTCTCTTCGACTGTGGCTTCATCAGTGTACTGCATCTTCCTCTTGCCTCATGGGTTGTAATTTTAATCAGAAGAAAAGCATATTCTCTTACATACCTGTGCCAGGGATGATGAGCCTTCCTCCCAGGCAGCCAAATGTCCCTGTGGCACTATTCCCAGGATCTCGAGGCAGAGTCAGAAGCTGCTGAGAGCCCATACCCTTGTTCCTTAGATTCATGAAATGATTGTCCCGGTGGCCGTCTCCTTGGAAGGGGCCTGGGGGCATGGCTCCTAACAAGTCTGCCCCTTCATGCATCCCAGAAGAGGATGATGCTGTGGAGGAATTATACACTTTGATCTTGAGATTAGGGAGTGGATCAAGCAATGGAGAGTTGGTCATGGGGATCTTGTCAGAGGAATCTTGCAAGGCATACATAGGACCACGATAGACACCTGCATTGGCAGTTAGATCAGGTTGCACTGAAGGATGGAGCAACTGGGGGGTATCTGCAAAGGAAGGCAGAAAAATGCTTAGTAGTCTCTAAGCATTTCCAATAAAGGGAAATGTAATATAAAAAGAAAATGTGCATTAGATTAGAACTGTTTTCTTCTTGTAATGATTTGAAAAAAAACACACCTGTCTGAATAGTAAATCAAAACTGAACCTTGATTACCATTGCTATGGACAGTAATAAATTTCTGCAAAGTCGTTACCATAAAACAGCGAAGAAATGGTTAGTTTTTCACGTATAGCTTTTGTGCTGATCAGGCAAACAAGCTACTAAATATTCAATCAGGTATCTATTAACTTTATGTACTTCATAGAGTTTATGTCAGTAACATACTCAAGCGTATGCTTGGTAAAATATTAAAATACCTAACTTATATCATATAATATCTCAGACATGGAAAACGTGGCAGCATTTGGTAGAATCTTTAAATGCTAACATATTGATGATGGCAAAAAATTTTGTGGACTTGATTCCATTTCATCAGATGCACAGAATGCCAGTCTGATGAAAACAACTGGTCTGCAAATATTTATGCCAGCCCTTTTCCAATCTGGTACCTTCCAGGTATATTAGGTTACATCTTGCTTTATAATGTGAGCTGTAGTGACAGGGTCTTCAGTCCAACACATCTGGGACATCAGCTTGAAAAAGGCTATTTTATTTCATATTTACAATGCCATGAGTTTTTATTTTTCTGTAACAATACTGCACATTTTCTCTACGAGAACTGATACATAGAAAAAAAATGAAGCATTTTATTGAAACTTATCCAAGGAGATTAACATTACAGCAATAAATGTCTTCATAAGGTGAACAGTTCTGCTAATGAGATGATGATTAGTACAAGTAAATGGACAATGTTATCTCATAAACTTGTGAAACCATGGGCATTTTTACTTAAAATAGATTCGGGGGGGGGGGTAGAATTGATGTTGGTCTCGTGGGGTAAATCAGATGGGAACCACAACCAGATAAACCAGTTACTATTTTCTTGTAAAGCTACACTGATAGAATCTTGCAAGTCTGAAAGTCCAATTCTCCCACCCACCCCGCATCTCCTTTACAGCCCGAGAAACTAGGGAGGGTTTCTTTAGAGCCTCTTGTCCTGCCTACTATCCAGCTGCGGGCTATGCTCTTATCTGACCATTCCCTTTGCAGTGTCTTTTCACCCAGTCTTCCAAGGTCTTTCTCACATAGCATTACATCTCATCATGCTGAAAACTAAATTATATTTTCATCACTCAATCTTTGACCACCTTTAAACATGAGCAGAATTGTTCTGGATAATTACATAACTTTTTTTCCCCTATACGTGGGTGGTGGTGCTGGATCTTAGTCATAATTACTGCCTCCTCCTTCTCCTCCTCTTCTTCCTCTTTCTTCCACTATAACCATTTGTTTTATCCCATTTTATTTAATCCCTTTTGTCAACATTCTTATTGTAATGGAAAACCCAACACCAAGAGAAATTGTATTGAATAAAGAAATGAAGCAAGTTCACCCCAGGTTGAAAAAAGGAGAACAGGAGCCATCCATTCAAATCTCAGATTTGACCTCTTTCTGTCTGATTGCCTCAGAAGGTTCACAAATACACAGAAAGCACAAAAGCACATGAGGCAAACTTCACAGGTGAGCAACCTGGGTCTTACCATGTCTGGAAGTTTTGAAATTAACTGGGTGGAACCCTCCTGTCAGTGCAGCAGAGGAGTCCGTTATGTCAGTGTCGAAGTCCCGGCAGTTTCGCCTATACACAACCAGCCCAACAGCCATCAAGATAACAATGAAGACAAAGATGGCCACCACTATGCCAGCATACAGAGCCACATCGCCAGATGCCTCCAGTACTGGGGAGAGAGAGATTAGACAGAGGTTGTCATTTTCTCTTTGCTCAGTTCTTAATTTAAATACTTTTAAACTGTGGCTATACAAACATATGAATCAAAACCAAAAAATTCAAAATCAATTATATTTCCCTCATTCATTCTCCAACTTCTGTCAGGATTTTGGGATGGGAAATAATGGGAAAGCTGCTTAAATGCTGGTGTGGGTGTGTGAGGGGGGAGCCCTACAGTTTTCTTAATCTCTTGACTTGCTGGTCTTCCAGTCTTCTGTCAGTTGGACTTCCTACTTTGAGGCACTCAAATCTGATAGAGGAGGAAGAACTTCCACCAAGACAATGGGCTTGCAGTTCAGGACTGTAGCACTAAGTAGGATGTTTCCTATTGCCATTCTGCCCCACTTCCTGTAGGCAAGCTGATTTCATTCATCAGCTGAATGGCAGGAAGTAAGCATTGATTTTCTGCTTCCGTTAACAGTAAGATACAAGGACTCAGTTCTCCACCAGCCAGCTATTTAGGTCGATGATCTAGTTGGCAAGAAGAAAGGAGAGACAATTCACAGCTCCATGGGCATGTGCTGTGGTACTATTCACATCTGCCATCACCATGGCCAACTAGTTTAGGGAAGCCCACTACACTGACAGCAAACTGGATTTGGAAGAAGAAATAAGCCAGCAAAAGCAAGAAGACAAGCAAGGAAGAAGGGAAATGATAGAGAGGGAAGGTCAGGAAAAGAAAGCATGGTTTAATGTCTGTTGTTCAAGCAAGAATGGATGACTATAGGGTGGTAGTGTGCAATTGACAGGGCCACCAAAGCAAGTGTTTACAGTAGCTGTCTCCATTCTCGGAAACTACCTCCTGGTAGAGATTTGGCCAGCTTCATCTCTCTTGAAGGTAGGGTTTAGGGATGCATGGCATTTCCATCTTTGACTTTTAAAAATCTTTCTCCATCTTTTTATTTTTATATATATTTGGGATGGGAAGGCATTATTGTATATGTTGACACTATTAGCTACCTAGAGTCTTCAAGAACGGGGAGCACACAAGCAAGCAAGCAAAGGTAACAAGAGCACTCAGCAAGCACTCTCCTGCCTTGAACTTCAGAAGGGACGTACGTGCATGAAAGAAAACGCCAGTGATCTAAGAAACCAAATCACAGAGGTGATCATAGAATTGCTGAGTTGGAAGGCCACTGAGTGCAACCACCTGCTCACTGCCAGAATCTAAATGAAACCATCCCTGGAAAAATAACAAGAGGACTTTCAATAGAATCAATGGCTTGCTTTGTACATCATGCTAAGTTATAGCTTGGATGTGGTTTATTTGTTGTGGTATGACATAAACCATGGTTGCAAATCACAAGAGTTGGGTCTGCACAATACATGTGCCAATACCAAACAAACAGCAGAGACAAAGCATGAATTAGAGCAGTGTTTTTGAAACTTGGCAACTTTAAGATGCGTGGACTTGAAGTCCACACATCTTAAAGTTGCCAAGTTTTAAAAACACTGCTGGCTGGGGAATTTTGGCTAGGGTTCAAAAACTCTGGCCACGGTTCAAAAACATGCTGGCTGGGGAATTCTGGGAGTTGAAGTCCACACATCTTAAAGTTGCCAAGTTTCAAAAACACTGACTTAGAGCAATTGCTTCTGCAGGTTTCTCCTTGATAGCTCTGGTTAGAGAAGAAAGCAGCTTTTAGTCCTGAGTGGCTGAGCTGGCAATTATAGTCCCTGCAGATGTGTTCCTTTCTCTCCCCCTCCAATGACTCCTGACTTTCTCCTTTATAACCTCCTTGCTCCCAAAAGTGTATTTATGTCAAAAATGTTTAGCATTAAATTCAATCTCTATGAAGTTCTTCAGATAAACCTGACAATCAGAATCAGGAAAAAAAAAAAAAGGGTATAGCATTTAAATGCCAGGGGAATCTACAATGTACATACATGTTTGGCCCCCCCCCCCCAGTTGTGATCACGTTTTCACCATTGTCAAAATGTTAGAAAGAGGCCTGATCTCACCATCACTGACCAGATGATTTATTCCATGCATAGCAAACGGACTAACATTCACATAATCTACTCTGATTTTTTTCCCCTCTCCCCTTTCTTTTTCATTCTTTCCTGCTTTTCGAGATTGGTTTTGCCACAAGTGTCCTGGAGTCTCCTTCTCTGTAAGGGAGAATACATGGAGCAGAACTAAGGAGATTTTTATGCTGCAATTATATCTGGGCTGCATTTATCATGGTGTGTGGTCCTCTGGGAGCTTCTTCATCAAGGGACCGCAAGAATATTGAAGTGAAGGAAAGGAGAAGTAACTGGTAATTTAAAATATACATTTTCTATACAGGGGATTTTGTAAAGATTGCAAAGATATACAGAGGAACACCCATGTCTGGTTTCCATCATTAGCTGTTACTAAAGTAATTCTTTGCTCCACCAGGCTCACTCCAAGGTGAAATAAAGAACAAGAAAAACTATCAGGTAGCATAGGGGTTGGAGTATATATTTATGACTGATGCTAGTAAAGAAATCTAATCCTCTTCCTGCAGTGTGCCCACATAATATTTACTCTGATGTTAATATGATAGAAATGCCCAACTAGATGGCAGCATGTAGTCAACCTTGGCTGATTTTGCAAAGCTAACCAGAGCCAAACCCATTTAGTGTCTGTATAAATGTCCAGTAGGAAATCCTCTGGCTGTAGGACAGACTGGGAAACAATGCAAATAAACTGGACCAAACAGCTCAGAAAATGGCAATGGAAAACTCCTGAAACACCGTTTAAAACTACGTGGGTGCATCAAGAAGACTTTATTTTAAATTATAGATTAATATAGCATCACTATGTATGGCCTTTTATTCAACAAACAAAAGTAACAGTGGTTCCCCTGCCCCGCCCCCCACGAGTTGCCCATCTTAAGTCTGATAAAGCAAAGAAAACAGTGGGAATGGAATGATGAATATGATGATGATTGACGTGGCAAAACTGTAATGTCCAGATGCTGCACTGGTTCCAGTAATGAAGTGGGAGTTCTAGCATAGCAACATCCAAGGGCCACAAGTTCTCTGTCCATGAGCTAAGGAATAGCTTCCTGAGGCTTCACAAGAATAAGGGATTTTGGAGCAGGAATGAAGACAGGCAAGGGTTGGATGAAGAGAGAATGTGACAGCAGTGTAAAGGTTCTTGGAGACAGTTCCAAGTCTACCCAGTAGCCCAGAAGCCTGGCAAGGTGCTTTAAAGTGTTAATCTTTACTAACCCTTCATTTGGTTTTTAATGGGCTTTAGATGAGGGGGAAAAACCCCTAAATGAATAATGATGAAAATTATTCTGCGCCGGATCCCCCTCAAGCAGAACCAATTACATCTTTTATGCTGCATGTTCAATTGAGAGCACATGCTTTGATCTTTTACTGCCTCTGAGAGCATCCACGATGGCAAATTCCCCTCAGGGGCTGGCAGAGGGAAGGGCTGACAGGAACACTCTGATTCCCACAAAACAAAAATGGTGTCCTGGCGAATGCCGTGTAAACAATCAACAAGTTACTAGTGGCCATGAGAAAATCAGGGAAGGAGAAAAAGAAGTTCCAAACTAAGAGAGAAAAAGAGTCTTACAGGGAGAAAATCCACAGCTTAGTTGGATTCTCTACTGGGACTTCACTGAGTTCAGTCTTGTGGAGATGTAAGGGAAATATAATTCTGGAGGGTGTTTGCAGAACTGAATATGTTCCTATTATTCATTTTTGTAACTGGAAATGATACATTGGTATGTAGTATGGTATTTTGGGAAAGGAATCCAAAGCCTTGTTTCAGGAGGCTCCAGGATTACCCCCTGTCTTCCTGGCAGTCCAACGGAAAGGAAGGCAGGGCAGAGAGACATCTTCTGCCTTCCCAATCATGTTTTTGCAAGAAAAGGAAGAAAACTGGTTTAGAACCACCTGGGACTCAAGTCTTATCATACGCCATTTTTTGCCCAATGCAGGAGTTTCCTGGAAGTGTCAGGAAGCCAGAAGAAAAAAACTCTGATGTTAGAGTTTC